TATATATATATGTGTGTGTGTGTGTGTGTGTGTGTGTGTGTGTGTTTATTGCAACTATATTTATTCAAAGTATTCTATTTCTGCCAACAAATTCCCGTAGTTCGTTATATTTATAAATACAAAAACGATTGACCTCATGATGCGCAGAAACGCTTGTAAACATATTATTAGTGTTTTCCAAATAGTCGCAGGATCAACATATATCACAAGTCACAATTTATTTAAATACGTACGGTGTCGAGCAAGAATATTACAAGTTTCATTAATATAAATTAACATTATAAAATATCATTCTCTGGACGTCAGTAATACCGTTCTAAGCGTGATGTCGAATTCTGGACTATCCACAGTACGGGATGTAATCGTAAATTATAATAATTGTTTTAATCCGTACGTCTGTCACGTTTGCAAAATTTCAGAGAACCTGCACGCATGTCACTGGTGCCGTTTGATCTCTTACTGCTCTAAGGAACACTTGCAATTGCACCGAGAGCAACACAAAGAGTTTTGTCTGGCTGTATTAAGCCTGAGTGACGAAATATACTACTCTCATGATATAACGCTTACAGAATGGACTGAATTTAAGAAGATTAATGTGAGAAAAGTTAAGAATAAACTTGGTCGCGATCTAGAGCCATATGAAGAGCAAATATTGCTATTTGCAAAATCGTGTCTCATATGCCGCCGCCAGAATGACCTCAGTGTCGTTTGCAACATATGCATGTCGGTCAGCATGTGTTACAGGCACATATCAACTCCTTATGTGCACAACTGTAAATATCTACGGCTTTGTAAAAAACTGGATATCAACAAAGGCGTAATAAATGAACAAAATGTACCAATACCGATAGACCTTCTAACTTATGAAAATTTAAGCGACATGAAAACATATCTTCGACAACATTTAGGACGTAGTAGAGATTACAACACTTGGAACTATGTCGATTTTTTATATACTAATTATTTCTCAAGACCATTGACGTTATTATTTCACATTTCGAGAACAAATATACAGCGACTGACGTTTTCTTCAATCTTTATAATTCACGTTATAGCCGGATCCTTTACGGACCGAAATAGTCTATTGGCTTGGGAAGTCTTTGTACATCAAATTTATCCTGACTCAACATTATTCGTTATAATGATAGAACCAAACTTAGAAAAAAATATTTATAAAATATCGCTTTGTCAAACTTGTCGCACCAAAAACAAAGAACTTTATTTTGTTTATTGTTCTATGACATATGGACATTATAGATATTCTCGTTTATATCTAGAACCACATCTAATTGTAGGATTTAATATAGATTTTGAGAATGATGGGACGGCTATTGTAGCAACATTAATGTGTCAGAAGAAACCATTATTTTTGACTTGCAAATCAGAAAGTAAGGCACAGCAGGTTGTTACGAAAATCGATAAAATATTACACAAAAAGCCTATCATCAATGAGAAGAATAAATTCGCATCTTGTAGACCACATAGAGATGTTGAGAGTGATTCTGTGATCTTTTTTCATCAGTATTTAATTGTGTATGCTAAAAAAGCTTACAAAAGAAAGAACTTAGACACTTCTAGCAATCACAACCAACCTAGCACCAGCAGCAATTCATTTGACGAATAATTGTATCGTCATACTAGTCTTATCATTATAAACAATATACAAGGTAAATGCCTCTTATAAATTTACTTTTTTGTTTTTGACCTTTCATATTTTCTTTTCTAAGTATAACATGCTGTATGCATTATATTTGCACATATAGAGATCATAATTATATTATAAGAGATCATAATTATATTGTATTACTTTTAATATTTTCCTTAAAAAAATACTCGGCGCGTCTGTAAAGTCTATTATGTACTCTACTGAAGATAGTGAATACATTTTCCAAAGTACTTAATAATATGGACTAATACCCACATATACATACACACACATATACACATGCGCGTATGGACATATTGCGAGACAATAAAGAACTAATGGAATGTTCATTGTGTCACATAATTGTCCCGTTATAGAGAGCTCCACATCAAGAGTGTTGCATCGAACAAATTTGTTAATATATAATGCAGCTGAATGAATATTGGAACATGTAAGGTTCTCGTGATATAATGCAAAATGAACTAACTTTAAACAAGAGAAAGTCAAAGTTACACATAAGTTATGTACGAGCTATATGTTTCGTGACCTGAAAGTGTACGAAATCAAATATCCTCATTTGCAAAATCATGTATTACTTGTCGCTGACAGTATTATCTGGCTGCACGACTTCGGCATCGGAAATCTCTTTATTACGACTAATTCAATAAAGATAATTTAGTAATATAGTAGATTATAAAGAAATATAAAGATCCAATGTTATATGTGCATTTATATGTTATACATGTATATGTTATATTTATATGTTATATATATTTATATATTGTTACATTATTATACATATTTATATGTCATACATATATATGCATGCATATATATACATATATATACATATATATATATATACATATATACATATATATACATATATATACACATATACATATATATATATACATACATATATATATACATATATATATATATATATATATATATATATATATATATGTATGTAGTTTTCATCGTAAATAGTTGTATCATATAATTGTAAAACTTCCTGATATATGCTAGAACATTTGTGAATATTTTACTGATGCCTGTCGACATCTATATTGAATGTCACAGAGTATAAATTGTCATACATGTGAATATAAACACTGATGTTTCGAGCGTTTCTCTTTTTCACACACGCTGTTTTATATTAATATTACAAAATATATCCCGTTTACAAATGTTAATTACGCGGAAATATTTTAGATATTATTTCGATATTTGGACTACAGAGCAATTTTTGTTTGTACAATAAAAAAAATTTTCCCATTCCAACGTTTGCCACGTATGCAAATCTATAGAAGCATTTATGAAGTATTTTTGGTGCGGAATAATTTCGTATTATCTGTGCAAGGAGCACAGGTTAATGCACCGAGCGAGACATATCGAAGTTTGTATAACAAGGTTATAATAATGGCAAGTACGTAGTGGAATATATACAATTTGCCTAATATGACGTTGAAAAAATTGACTATATCCAAAAAGATGTATTTGTATATTGTTCTGTTGTAATATTCAAGTAACTTTGTAAAATCTAAACAAAATTTGTTGAACCTGAGACTGTTAAACCATTGTATAACAATATTGTAACAATATTAATCACATCGGTGATAATACCCAAGGAACGCCAATATGCGTACAATGCGTTTTAAATGTGCATTTTAATTAACATTAAAAGCACAATTTGTCCCGCATTAAATTCGCATTTAATGCACATTATGGTAGCGCATTCAAAAAAATATTTTTCGCCTATCTCGTTCGCTGATATCTTGCTAATTTATGTCTCTGTAATGTTTTTACAACATTGCATTGCAATATACAATATTGAAATGTTGCATTAATGTTGCTGCAAGCGTATGTGGGGGTTGTTCTTCCAACATTATTTTTTATTAAATCAATGATAAATATTGTTGAATTACAGATATGGCATTCTGTGACATTGACATTTCATTGACGTGAAAAATTTCATCTGGAAAACTCATCTGGGAATGGCACTTAGGAAACTCTTCTAGGGAACTTAGGCGAAATACCCAGTAGGAATCCCAATTGGGTGTTCAACTGGGATTTTTCAACAAGAAGCATCCATTCGTATGTTTCAGTGTGCATAAATTTCTTAAACTTAAACTACAATCACTCAACTAAAAAGAAAAAAACTATCTTTTTATATTAATATACATCAGTTCTGGAAGTTTTATGGAAAAGAACAGATCTTTTGTAAGCAAGTAATAATTTGTGATTTGACGTTGTATCACGTAAAAAATTATTTATTTATTTTAAAAAACTTGTTATTACGAAATGCGTAAATATCGCATTAATTTGAGTGCATTTTAAACTTACAATAAATGCGATTTTGAAGCCAATGCAATTGAATGCGCATTAAAAGCGCGTTATACGCGTATTGGGTATTATAAACCTTGGGTATTATAAACAATATAAAAAGTAAGTCGTTTTCATGGATCTATTGCGAGTTTCCTTAGAAAGAATACTTTTCTCTTTAATTGGCTAACATATATTTTGCTATTATACTTTCGATTTGTTAGTTTCGGTTAGTACTATTATCTATTCAATAATATCATAATATATATAGTATAGTACGTTGTATTATATACGTAATTATATTGTAGTTCTCCTGTACAATAGAAATATACCTATATCATATGCGTAATATTTGCATAACTGTGACACAATATGCGACACTTTTGCGATTTCTTGTTGTACGAAATGACATACAATGTAAATCATTTAAGATGTAAGGTGTAAGGTAGATGTTTTTCATCGATCTCTTCTGTAGGGAAAACAATTCTGATCAATAAGCTTTTCTTTCCATAATTTTATAAATTAAAGAGGCGGTTTTGCCGTAGAACGTGTGGATTCTGTGTATCATACGTATTTCTAAAGACCACTTGACAATACTTTCTAGATGTAAGCTTTAATATAAATAAACTATTATATGCCTTTTTGATATATGCCTCAAACAAATTTATGAAATTCTATTCGACCAGAAATATCCATTATATTTGCAAAGTCAAATCAGATCGTTAAGGCGAGAACTCCATCTAAATGAGCCGAAAAATAGGCAGTTTTTAGGGATTAAAAAAAAACTATTCGATGAATCTTTTTGAAACTTTTAGTATATTTATATGCACATTCAGAGAATTAGAAAACATTTTCTTTGAGCAACAGTAATGGATATTTTTATAGTTAATAAAGGTCGATGTCGGAGGCCTCATTTTTGACGAGGTGAATTTGTGTGCATTCTAGCGAACTTAGTTTTAATTTTACAATAAAGATCCTAAAAGATTTGTTCTCTTTTAATAAAAATCACAAGGAATGAACATGAATGTGTTAAAAAAAATTGGAAATTTAGTGAAAATAAACGATTTCAAAAGAAAACGTTCAAATTTTACGGAAAATTTTCATTTTCATTGTTTGAGAAAAGTTGTTTAAGTAAATAAAAATTAATTACATACAGATTCATTTTATTAAAAAAGTAATAATGTACATGCACGCATAAGCACAAAGTAATTGGTTGAATAGTTTTTGAGTTTTGATGTACGCAATTTGCGAAAAAGTAGTTCTGAGAAAAACGTTCAAGTTAACGAAGCAAATAAATAACAGTTTATGGAAAGTCACGGCTGTTTTTGACTATTCTGCAATTCCAGCTCCAAATAATAAGGCCTCTGTTTCCTCGACAATTAGTTTTCTGGAATTTTTTTCTGTTTACGAGCTATTTAAGCTTCCTTTGTGCTGCTAGGAGTTTGGC